AATCCTCACCGCCACGAAAGATACTGCCGCAATAGATTAGTTGGGAGAGCGCAAGACTGAAGATCTTGAAGCCTTGTGTTCGACCCACGGTTGCGACAATATTCTTGCAGTCGTTTTTGTTCACGCGTATCAAGGTGGCGCTTCCTATTTCTACCGGTGTGCGTGGACACAACGTGGCTCTTTGTGCACGAACTTGCTCTTTGTTTAGCCGCCTTGGTGGCTGGTTTAAGCTCTACCTGCTCAGACGTCCAACCGGACGAGCCGCCAATGACGACGTGAGACGCCGACGAAGCCGAAGAAACGCCAAGAGCTGAGACAGCAGCATTCTGCTATAAATCCCCCGCCATCAACGATCTTGGAACTGACCTTAAACGCATCAGAGTACGGCACAACTTCTTTGGTGAATAACGATAGCTTCGCGAACTTTATCATCCTTGAAACATACGGCGGCCTTCAGGGTCCTCATCCAAGGATTGCCTCCGCTACGTAGGGAGTGTGAGCATCCACTGCCGGAATTCGACCCAAATCGTTGAGTCAAGCCTCTTTCCTCAACACAATAAATTATGAGTAAACCAGCAATCCCATCCCGTCGGACTAGCCGGCGTAACGGAGACATAGCCAGGAGTGGAACCAAGTACTTCTGGACGTTGAGCTGGTACTCCTACCACTGCGTTGCAGATCAATACCCTGGTTATGCTGCGTGCTGGGATTGGCCTTCTGGCGGAGCTGCCGACCCTCGCATCGTGTATTGCTGCATAACCATTCAGCCTGGCGGGCTTTTTTGGCGATACGGCTTGGGGCCCAGTTGTGACCGCTGGGCAACAGATCTGCAGTTGGGTGTGCCTCTTCGCGGGTTTTGTAGACTTCTCGCTGCTGATCGCCCGCTGGCGGTGTTTCGGGGCGCCACACAGCGGAGAGCCTGGAATCAAGTATTTCTAACCGAAGGGGGGACTCGAACGCCCAATCGTTGTTCTAGGGGTTGCGCCACACTGCCAGAAACGCGCTTGGCGGGTTGCGGCCGGAAACATTCACGACAAAGTGGTCTTTGCGGGGGACACTCCGTTTGGTAGTGGTACAACCCCATGGTAGTTGCAGACATTTGTGGTTAGAGTTCGCAACGGTTTGCTCTCCACAGGTCTTACATTGGACGAGCATTCGTCCAGCGGCACGGGCACGGGCAACATAGACAGCGTGCTTGCGGGCAGTGATTATCTCTTGGACGTTATTTCGCGGAAGGTCGGCTTCTTCGGGGGTTAGTTGTCCAATGGACTCAAAGTC